CCCCAAAACCCCAAAACCCCAAAACCCCTTAGGGTTTTTATAAAATTGATTTTTTTAAGGGAAATATTGGGGGTTTAGAGGTTGAGCTGAACTTGGGGTTGGAGGGAGGATTCTGGTTGATTAGAGCGGGTAGTTAAGGGTAGGAGGTTGGGGGTTAGCTTTAGCGATAGGGGACATCACTCTCTTATTTGGTGAGAATTGAGGGGTATAGTCTGTGACTCTTTGACTTAGCACAAGGCTGCTACTCTGGAGGAAGAAACTACTATCCAAGTTAGGTTTTCCAAAAGGCGATTTTATTCTTGATCGAATTTTTCCTAAAAAATAAAAGAAAAATACTATGACTGCTCTGAAACGGTCTCTTTAGAACTTTGGGAGATAATGATGTAGGTTTTGCAGAATGAGGAGGCCTAGAAAATATTTAGCAGAATGCAAATATACCTTCATTCTGGACTCTTCGCTCGGAGACCACTCCACTGGGGTTCAATTTCTCTTCTCTTTTTGCCGCTTCTTGCACGCCTGTTCAATCCAGCCTTGAACATGGCTGGCATCAGCCGCTTATAAGTCTGTGGCCTCTTGCGAGTAGAAGCCAGGTCCCCCTTCGGGACCTGGCTCTTCTGCACCGCAGACAATGAGCTTAGAGGCGAAGCCAGCCGAGGCTCTGGCTCAGCTGTTGAAGTCTTTGATAAAAGCCTAAGAGTTAGGAAGGGAGCTTACTCTTTTATGTTTGCAGGCTGAATTTTCATCTTGCTCTTCTTACTCTTCTTAGGTTTTGGGTTGTTGATGTTGTACTGGATTGATACTTTGGTCTATAATTGGTAAAGAAGAGTACTGAGAGAAATCCGTTCATCTTATTTCTCCTTTTCTATACAGTCTTCGATCATAGCTGTGTAAGTATGTTCAGAGAACTGTCTAACATCACGCTCAAAGTTGGCTGCCTTTATTTTGAACAATAACCCCCCGACTGTTCATACTCAAGCTATAAAATTAATAAGAAATTTACTTGTTGAATATCTACGGTTTCTGAAAGAATCTTCATGTCCAAAGATCTGGTTGACTCCAAGGATGGAAACTCTTCATTTTCCCAACCCTGAAAATTTATCGTTATTAGACTGGATATTAATCATCATCTTATTGAGCGTGTTCTTAATAGTATGAGGTCCGGATTGCTTTCTCGGCACAAATTTACTCGTCTGGTATTTAGTATTGCAATGGGACTTGAACAGATCTTTAAGGATCTTATTATCATTCTGCTTATACTTGATTTCTAAAATTGTCAATCTACATACTTTTTGTGAGCTCAAATTCCCCTTTCTTGACTATATAGACATAATTGCTCTTATCACCTTCATGGAAGACGACTTGGTTTCTCTTGAACTTAACATACTCATGCTCGTAACAGAACTTGCTCAGTGACATATTGCTCCATTTTCAGAAATACGGAATTTGCTTGAAGAAGTTAATTTTATCATTAAATTTCTTTTTGAGGATTTTAGAGATGACTTTATTGTAGCAAAACTTGTTCAATACAGCAAATTTTCAGGGCTCTGAGCAGAGGATAGTGGCATTTCTAATCATTTTTCCACTCAGTGCTAGCTCACCGAAGTAAGCACCCTTATGAAGCGTCACTATTTCTTGATACTTAACCTCCTCATTCTGAGCTGTGGTGTCTAAAAATCAACAAGGAATCTACTTATTGGTATATTTTAATTTGAGTATTTTCGAATAGATCTCCTTGATTTTCATCCTGATCAATGTCGTTCTTAAGAGGTCAGAGTACTTTTACTGAGCCTTCAAGAATTATCTACATACTGGGTTAGAAAAAGAGTGTTTCGGCTGTTGCCATTAAGCCAAGATGTACTTACATATAGAATTTATCCCCTTTGTCTCCGGTATGAAACACAAATTGATCCTTCTCAATTTGTTCAAAAGTAAGGTTATCAAACACTAGCTGAAGGTCTTCTTCCTGAAGCTTATTTTCTTTCAAAATTTTGACATTTTTCAACATCTCTAGGACATCTGGGTTTTGTGGCTTATCAGAATTCTTCTGGGATGCTGGATTTCATTCCTGAGGTTCTTTTGATTTGAAATTATGGAAAGCTCTGTGCTCCATTTTATTCAATTTTTTTATTTAATTTGGGGTTTTGGGGTTTTGGGGTTTTGGGGG